ACGAAGGTAAATTGAAATGTTGATAAATAGGTTCAAGTTGCTCCTAAATGAGAGAAAAAAGCAGCCGAAATTAGTATCTGAAATGGTGAGGGAAAGAAATAGGTAGTCAAAGATGACGGTTGTCTGGTCAGTCTTAGATTCCAATCTAGGTGGAAGAAGTGGCAGAAACTGAAAGATATGATTGTTTGATGCACACAGATGGCTAGATGAGATAAATTAACAATAATATGGGTCAAAAGAAGTTAATAAAAAAGTGAATGTCTACAAAATAAAATAACTAGAAAGAAACACATCAGAGCGACAGTAGCTAGCCGGTTAAAACTTTAAATTGTGTGTAAATGAATTAAATAAAAACTGCGCCAGTTTAAGAAGAAATATTTTCCTATTATATGCTAGCACGTGTCAGAATGCCGACAATTTTCCATATTTTTTTTAGCACAAGATTCGGAATCGTTACTCGCCGAAAAAGATACACGCAGCATTTTATTTTCCATCTAAAAACCATGGCTTAAGCATAATCCCTAATCAACAACCAATCATGTAAACACAAATTTGCATAGTATTCCTCCTAAGCTGGCCAATAAGGGATTAATAGCAAAAGCAAAAAAATTTGAGGAACATTTCAGGCCGAAGGCTATAGTCACAATTGAGGTTGCCCAGTCAGTCTACATCGATGCTTTGTATATAAAAATGAAGTGAAGAGAGAAAACAGTTTGATCTCTTAAACTAATTAACCACTAGCGATAAGATCATGTAAATGAAAAAAAAGTATAAAATGCGTAAACCATCCAAATTTGCAATCACTTCTCGCCTAAATAGATACACGCAATATTTCATTTTCCATATATCAACCACGACTTACCTACCATCCTTAAACAACGATAAATAATATAAGCACAATTATGCAATGAGCTTAAAAATTAATGCATCAGTAAAATTAAGTAAATATAGTGGTGTAGCCATATTCACCTGCTGGCCAAATGGTTGCTGTTGTAATTGCATTCGCTGTGGATGCCCGTAGAATGCATTTGTTACACCTGGAATTGGTTGTCCGTTAGGCTGTTGCTGCATTAAATGAGTCTGAAAATGTGGTTGTCCTGAGTAAAAGGAACTCGGAACGCATGGATGTCCAGAGTAAGCTTGCGGGCCAGTTACGGCTGCGGCCGCCGCAGCTGCCGCTGCATGTGCATAAGCCTGTGCATGATGTAGACCAAGCAACCCGGGAGGCAGCTGAGCCAACTGGCTTGGTGGCAAAGAGGGCAATGGAGCACATTGCGCAGGAGTTGCATATATGCTACCTCCACCGGCGTTCGAGGCGCCGGAGATACCGGGAAGGCCCATTCCAAGACTGAGATCAAGGCCGAGGGTCTCGGTGGCACCTGGTAGGCCAACACCAGGGCCGGTGTAAAGACCTAGTAAGACACCAGTTTCCACTCTGTGTAGAATAAGAAAAATAAGAAATTGAATGAGAATTCGATTTTTTGACTCCAATTTTCTATTATTCGCTTACACCTCTCTTTACCATGTGTTTACAAAAATATTGTTTATTGACATAGACATATATGTATATACATAGTAAAATTAGAAAATGATGCATCCGGTACGGAGACAAATTTAATTAAAGGAAACGAAGACAAAAAGAGTAAAGAAAGTAAAATAGAAGAAAAAAGGAGCGAGATTTATAAGGAAAATTAAAAGAAGAATTACAGCGAGAATAATGGCTATAAAAATTAATAAATAAAATCAATAAGCTAATTTAACTAAAAGTATTTTATAATGGCCCACATATTTAAAAATTTTCACTTGAATGAGTGTAAATATAGAGCAAAATAGAAAAATAAAATGACGGATTAAGAATGGTAAAAATTAATGCCACGTACTGGGGCCAGCGTATTGGTTCCAGGCGAATAGCATTGTAGAGCCGCTTCAACTCTTCGTTGGAATAATCATAAGATTCACTGAGCTCAGAAAGGTTATTAATAAAGTCCTGGCACGTCATTTTGCGAGTGATACTCTGATATGTTTATTTTTAAATAGGACAATTATCGACGTAGATAATTAAGCAGCCGAAAGATATGAAAATAAAAAAAATTAAATGGTTTAGGGAAAATCCGAAAGAGAAAGTTATAACTCATTGAAGTCTACGAAATTGAATCTATTATTAAAAATCCTTTTGCTTAGAGCGTCATAAAAACACTGAAATGAAAGGACAGAAACCAATGTGCTCACGCAGTATTATGAACATTTAGCCAAGGACGAATATCCCCCTAAATTAAAAAGCCATTGGTCTGCAAATGCAGGACGAATTTCATAGCTAGTCTATTCTATATCGCAGAAGCATAAACATTGTAGACAAATATAGCAAAATGTTTTATCGCAGTTGCCTCAAATTCATATTGCAAAAAGGATGGTTCGATGGTGCTAGATCAAGGGGAGATGCGGGCAAATCCGACGATCAACTAGAGCGCAGGCTTCAATAGATATTGCATGTTTATTAAATACGAATCATTCATCTGCATGACCACTTTTGGCGAGCTGTATTGAGTCGGCTATGGGCAAAATAAAAGGTTGTTTTGGAAAGAATAGGTAAGGGCAATATCCAGAAAAATGAGCAGAATTGTGTCAAGGATGGATCGTAGATACTAGAAAAGAGCTGCAATATACTGGAGAAATATTTTCAATCCAAGGCTCATTTATGAGAGTCTATAACTAGGAACAGGTAAGTAAGATAGGAGATAGAGAAGAATGTAATAAAATATCAATTTATAAAAATCATTTAGGTAAAATCTAAGCTTGGAGGTTAGGTTATAAACTCTGTCTTGACTAATTTAAAGATAATTTTTTTTATACCAGAAAGTAAATTGTAATTAGAAAATCTTATAAAACAAAAATTAATGCGAAGACTCAAGGAAGGGTAAACAGAGAAGAATAAGAATTAGCAAGTAGATTGATCGATCAAAGTAATATCTCAATGTTGTAGTGATCTATCCCTAAACTGTCAAATATAATGCTTAGTTGTGTTGCATTACGTACGTAATTATGCCCAGCACCTTTTGACGCGGATCACGCGAGAGTATGACTAATGATCAGTAACTATTTCACGTCGACCAATCAAACCTTGGAATCGCATCGTGCCTATCTTTTGAACCAATTAGGTGACGCGCAGAACTAAGCGAGGGTATTTCAAGCAGTAAACATACCACCTAGATCAATCATGTTTTCTTCTTTTTCTTTCTTCGAATCGCGGAGTCTGAATTCTTTCATTACGCGCTGCCTCCCATAGTTGACTTTCTGTTATCAGTCCTATATTATAATTCAGCTGGTTCTAAATAGGATATTTAATTATATGACTTTTCCTTTTTATTTCCTAGTCCTGAAGCATCTAATCTCATATTACGTTGCAACACAATGGTTCTATTTTAGAAACAGCCCCCGGGCTCAGATCACAAAAATGTTATATTTGCAAATCAATTGGTAAGTGTTCAACTTTATCGAAAGTTATCTGCTGCTTTTACTTCCGTGAGGCATTTTGTAATAGACTAATCGTTTCTAAATCTGTAATGGCAGTTATGATAATGTACAGCATCACACCATTGAATTGCTATTTTACTAGACATGTGATGAACCGACTTCATCAACGAGTTACAACCCGTGACCATTTGATCACATCTCAGGGATTGTAAATCAATGTTGAGTATTTCACCATTGAATGAAGAAGTTAGCGAAATGTGTGGGAATGTAGAAAGTCAACAGACATCAGATCACATTGGATTTCTAATACTGAAAATATTGATATTCTCGAAACCTGCAAATAATGAAAATATTAAACGACAATTATTTGAAGGTGGTTGACCTCGTTGTCGCAACTTGGTGTTGTGTTTAGGGAGACTATGTAGAACGCACCGAGTCCGAAGTCGTCTGCCATAGTAGTTGTCTTGATTCC